GGCCTTCCTATCCCTATTATTACGGGCCTTATTACTGGCTTCGTCATAGGATGGCTTATATATAAAGGCTCTCACACTGTTTCGCTTTCAGTATTTTTCGTCGCCACAACTACCTTATTATTATTCATTGCTGCTGGTCTTTTCTCTAGAGCTGTTCATGAATTTCACGAACTCACTGGTAATGAAGAAGTCGTTCTTTGGAAATTAGAGTGTTGTAACCCAAACCACAATGATTTTTGGTCTATCATGGATGCAATATTTGCTTGGAGAAATGAGGCTACTGTCGATACAACAGTTAGCTATTTCGTTTATTGGATCGTAGTAATTATTGCGTCTGTGATCATCGTGATCCGCGGAAAGAAAGCCGATAAAGAGAACATTGACACCATAGAGCACAGTGATTCTAGCAAAAAAGACGAAAAAGATGCAGCAGAAAACAATGTCGTTTAATACTTTATCACCAAATCTCTTTTCTCGATAGATTGTAATGCATTACATTATATATTTACACAAAAAATTTAATCACCATGGCAAAAAAAAAGGCCATTAATTATTATTAATTTATATTTATCATTTTAAACAATAAAGAACCAAAAAAAAATCACATTATTTTCAAACAAGCATATAATTATTTTATTTTTTCAAGCAAAAAAAAAAAAAAAAAAGAAAAAAAAAAATACGTTAATTATATTAGAACTGGGTGAAACCCGAGTTGTAATTAGTAAAATCCGCTATGTAGATCACGTTAGGATGAAATCCGCATTTAGCTATGTTTTTTATTATGCAAAAGCGAATTTCACCTTCATGTGATTTACATAGTGGATTTTACTAATTCTCACCTGTCGTATTATATTTATCCTACCAAATGATATTATTAAGTTCAACGTTTTATCAAAAGCTAGCTTGTCTATGCATTTTATAATTATCTCGTACGTACGTATCTCGTACGTACGTACGTATTTCAATTTTTTTTTAGCCAAACTCTTTTATTCTCACCGGTATTTAAAAATAAGAGGGGAGGCATGTGAATTTTTCAATAAAGGCAGTTATTTTAAGAGTTATGTGAGCTTTATAAAAGAAGTTCTCAAGAAAATCTAGTATAGTCATAGTAAATGTTTCACATTGAGACTAAGATAAACTAAGGATAAACTAAGGCTCTTTGTAATTATTACCGCTATACCCTAAATTGATTGCCATAAATATACTTTGTGTTTCACACGGTTTCGGACCTGTCCAAATAAAGTCAGGTGCTATTTCTTACTAAGACCAGCGTGACGATGCGAATCACGAAAAATAAATGATAACCCACCTTAGGCATTAATAAAAAGTGTTAGACCCGGGTGTGAATCAAAAGTTTCCTTCTAATGGTACAAATTCTCTACCATGTCTAGACCTGGATCTGATATAAGTTTTAACATTGGTGAAATGTAAAAGACCTAGGTCTTTTATATGGCAGTTTACGGGAATTTTACTTTTACTTGTAACTTGTCCTAATCCTAGCCTTAAAACTAACCCTACTTAATTATATGATCACACCAGGCCTTTTCCAAATGATTGATTGTTTAGTCTCGATAATAATTAATTCGTGATTCGCCAGGAGACCGGAGTAAAGATGCCTGACGAATGACGAAACTTTCGCCATTCGTCAACTTATGACGAAACCTGAGCTAATAGAATTACAGGATCTGTGTGACAAAACAAACGTAAAAAAAACCTAGCAACAATATCGAAATTCACCATGACAACGACTTATAAGTAAAATTTTCAAATAAAATTTCAGTTATAGTAGAATTTTAAATATTAAATATGTAGGAAATATTGATATAGTATATGGGGTGTTATCAATAGAAACAGCCCATTTTTACAATTTTTTGAAAAATGAGTTTTTATTACATTTATATAAATTTTGACATGAGCAACATTTTTCAATTATAAATGAAAGTCGATTTGCATAATAAAAAATCGAGATAATGTAAAAGAAAAATTACATGAGGCTTCGTAG